ACAAACACTCTTTTCTCGGTCAAATAGGCACCAAATTCAAAATTTATGTTACATTTCGACTACATATATAACCCACTTTCAATAAAGATTAATGTTTCCACGGGTGAAATGCTTCTTTAAGTAACAATAACAATGTCACTAGATAGGGACCACCACACATCTTGACAAAGGCCTTTTGTTTATGGTTATTATAAGAAATAAATATGCTAATGATACCAATTAATACCAAGTTGATGGAAAAACTCTTGTTTCCCTGCTTCTTTCCTACCTGGTATTCCTCCTCCAGTCTAGAGAGCAGCACAGCCTGTTCCACACTCAGATGTCGGTCAATCAACCCCATCGACAGCACCACAGACTTCAGCTGGTTGATCACATACTCAAGCCCTGCGCAGGAGAAACCATATTACTGCATAGCTCTGCCCTGCTACTATTACAGCTTACAATAGTATTTACTCAAGCAACAAGATCAAATATCACAACTATCACACCTCCCTTCACTTGTCTATTGCTCATTTTCAGTTGCACAGTTTACAGTTACCACACAATCAAAATGAAAACTCTTCTGTACATTTAACATTTAACACATGACTGTTAAAAGCGCTGTTTTACCTGTCAGGGACCAGAAGTTGTAAGACTTTAGGTGTTGCCGGAACGTGTCTTTGGTTGCCTCTGGGATCTCAGGACCCAAAATACTGGACGAGGAGCCAATAGTGACATTGTATCTGCAAATAAGTTGTAGGAGTTCAAGGCAATTAGGAAAGAGCTTAATACAGAAGCTTAATTTACAAGGGCTGCATCGCTATTTGGCAGGCTTTAGTGTCAGCCAATGTCCCTTCACAAAATCTAATGCTTCCGTCACCTGTTTTCAATCCAGTGCAGCACAGGGTCCCACTCGTTCTTCTGTAGCTCAACCAAACCATGAGGCTCCTCTACTCTGTAACTAAACAGATAATCAACACCGTTAACAGTTAAAGCAACAACTGCAAAGAACTTACTAATAACAATGTACAAAAAACACCTACATATCTCTGCAAATAACCAACAACATTTAAACTCTAAGTCAACACCCCAAATGCAGGACAGTACCTGCAGCCATCAGCCACAATTATGTGACAATAATCAGTTAATTTTATCCTATTGTTGTTGTCATTGTGTTGAATTTCTCACGTCTTTTACAAACTAGAGTTTTTCATTAAAAGGACATCATTACATTGAGAATATGCACATTTAATATCTACTTGGTCATTATGTTGACCTCTGTCTTTTGCTGTTACACACACTGATTTGTAAATGGTGGTTATATTTGGTATATGAATGTACAAAACACTGAATTATTGTTGTTATTCATGGCATGTTTTGAAAATACTTAATTTGATAAAAGGCTCAAGTCAATAAGTATTATACCAGACAGTATCAGTCTCTAGGAACTTCAGGGCAGCACTGATCATTTGGTCCTTGGTACGTTGGGTGGGATTGTCCAGAGCTGTGTTGCACAGTGTAGTCTGCAAGAAGAGTGCACCAACATTACTATTTCAGTCAGTTACATTATTCGTTAGTGGCATAAAAAGATTCAGAACTAACTTCGCAGTTAGTTTTGGAGTAAACGATCCTGTCTCAATGGAGGTTCTGGGTCGCAGCTGCTCATAGCATAACCTATATATTTCTTTCTGTCTCACATACATAGAATAAATCGGGGTTTCTCATAATTTTTTGGAAACCACAACCTAGATTCCCCCTCTCAAATTCTTACCAACATCCCACAAGAGGACCTGTCAAGTTTGTCATGTGAATTAGCATACAGGGATGTTCAAATGTATTATTATATGTAATTTAGAACACATAAAAAAACATATAGCTATTTTAAAAATTCTCGAAGGATCTCATCTACATATCAAGCAACCCTAAATTGGGGCTGACTACAAGGATAAGAAAAGTCTGCTTTAAACACAAAGGCGTACCAGGTGCATAGTGTAGAACTTGAGTGCGTCCCTTTGAGCATCCCACTCGGTTGCCACGGCCATAGCCATGGCTTCATTTGGTACTGTGAACAGCTTCCCTCCAGGAGTTTTGAGTTTCCTTTTGTCTAGGTTTACCTCATACAAACCACCTACATGAGAAATGAAAAAAAATATTCATAAAGCAGAATGACAGAAATAAGGAGAATGAACAGCTAGTTAATATATCTATATCATAACCTTAAAAGCCCTTAAGGAAGCCAGGAGAGACACCATATTCGGACTTACCTTCACCTTGGGATATACTGACATCTTGATAAAATCTTTTTTTTTCTGGAAACGACAGAAAACATCAGTCAACACTCGCACTGCAAGGTAAAGTTATACATAATGCCGCAGCAAGGAGTTACACCATCTATCGTACCTGCTGTGGCCGTGGAGTATTTCAAAGCAAGCGGACACTGCGGACTTCTTGGGCACACGTTACTGAGAAGGGGATTTCCAAAGTGTCTCTGGAGTCTAACAAGGCTCCTAAACATAGCGGCAGTGAAGATGTGAAGATGTAATGTTTTGAAGAAAAGCTAGCTCAAATGCTAGCTACCACTTTTTGCTCGGCTACCTGTTTCTCACCGCACTCAGTTAAAAAGATGGAGCATTTCTTTGGAGGTGCATTAGCATCAGTTCTTGTGTACACTCGTTTCTACGGGGTAAGTGTATAAAGTCGCTATGTCTCTATTTACTGCCGCACATTTCTTCCATACAAGCTCCTGCGTTCAAAAGCACGCGTGTGACCTTCTGTGCTTGACAGCTAGCGTCGCAAATACTTTTCATAGTCGGGAAATGTAGTTTTTAAAGCGCTTCTACGCACCCTTACATAACAGGAACAAACTACACCCAACTATTCCCCTAAAGCCTTCCGCAAGTCCAACCAATCAGCGTTGAAGTTCTTAGCGAGGTGAACTCCGTTGACCAATGAGAAGGGCGGATTCTGCTACAGCGCCGCGTCGAAGTCCACTCCACTTTCTGGGAGCTTGGTGCCCGGTAAACGAAACTGTGGAGGAATCGGGGGGGAATTGAATGTTGGTGGACGTCTTTAGTCCTCCCCCACCTCTTCTAAGACGCCGACAGAGTCTATCGCCCAGACGGCAATTGCCCGCGGTCGGTGCCCAGCCAGCGAAGCGGGAGCCATGCCTGTCCCCGCTGGATACCTCAGCGACTCCCCTGCCGCGGCCTTCGCATCCTCGGCCTCGCTTATCCCGCCGCCTCCGATAAACACCCAGCAGCCTGGCGTTGTCACCTCGCTGTTGTACAGCGGCTCCAGGTTCCGGGGCCACCAGAAGAGCAAAGGGAACTCTTACGACGTGGAGGTTGTTTTGCAGGTGGGACTGTGGAGCGGATATTTCTCTATTCAGGCGAGCTGTCAGGGGCATTTGGTGATCTGTCAAACGGGAGGTGTGATGATTGACAGCTGGAAAATCAATGAGCGCTGGCCTGTGGTTGAGTAACTCGCCTAGCTAGCTGTGGATGTAGCAGTGCCTGCGACTGTTTACTAGCAACCCTTTTCAATTATAGGGAGACATTTTATTTGATGTTATTATTAAACATGCAACTTAATAGAGGTTCAATCATGTTTGGCTTCTATGGCTGCTCTGTGCCTGAGTATAGCAGATATGATATATAAGCAAATAAAAGCATTTGCATGTATTTTCACTTCGCATGTAGAAGAAGTAAATTAGAAGTAAACATTCTTTACTGTGATGTCTTTTAAAGCATGTCACCATGGAGGATTCCTACTTGTGCGGCTACCTGAAGATAAAAGGACTGACTGAGGTGAGTGGAGTAATTCAACATTAAACATAAATCATTTAAGCTGGGTCTGCCCACTGCTCACTGTGTGTGTCCTTGTTAAGAGACTGGTACAGTCTAGCTCCAGGGTTTCCCATTCTAGAGGATGTCATGGTATGCTACTACAGATACGAGCACAGCAAAGCTACCTGACCTGAATAAAACACACAGGACATGACAGAAAACCTTTTCTGGATCATTGTCGTGTAGTGGTAAATTGTAACATGTCAAGGTTTAAAGTGCAGTAAGCATGACTTTATTTATAAATATTGTTGCCTATGTTATATACATATATATATATATATATATATATATAGTATATATTACAACTAAAACAATCTGTATGTTCTAATTTACAATATGCCACAGTCAGACTACAGTGATTAAAAGCAAACAGTTCTACCTTGTAATTAGTGCTGGAATAAAAACCCTGACGGACTTACTATTAGCATTGGGTGTGACATTCTATCACTCTTTCACATTTGTTGTGTGGCTGCACCAGAGCAAATAAAACATCACTGTTTCTCCGTTGCGTTCACTCTCGCAGGAATACCCAACTCTGACCACGTTCTTCGCCGGAGAGATCATCAGCAGGAAGCGGCCGTTTCTCACCCGGAAATGGGATGCAGATGAGGATGTGGACCGTAAGCACTGGGTAAGCTTTCATTCATAGTCTACACAAGTGCTGTACTGCAGAGTGTTTTGCCGTGAAATAATTCTTTGACTTTTTGTGTCAAGGGCAAGTTCCAGGCCTTCTACCAGTATGCAAAGACGTTCAACTCGGATGATTTTGACTATGAGGATCTGAAGAACTCTGACTATATCTTCATGAGGTGGAAGGTAAGGTATTGCCTAAATTGAGTCTGACCATATGTTGTAGTAAGTCACCTCTGAACTGCAGCTGCTGCTATTTCTCACCCTGTCCATCCCCCCTTAGGAGCAGTTTCTGGTCCCTGACCACACAATCAAAGACATCAGCGGCGCTTCCTTTGCTGGATTCTACTACATCTGCTTCCAGAAATCCACAGCAACGATTGAGGGCTACTACTACCACAGGAGCTCAGAATGGTAACGCTGCACAACACTAGTTGCTGTGAGGGGAGGTTGAGTCATTTTACGACTTAGCAGACCCGTGAGTGAAAGGTTGCTGGATCAAATCCCAGACCAGCTGGAAGATCTGTGTAGGGAAAGTCAATAACAGAAAACGTTTCCAGCTTTCTGCAGCTTCTCTCAAGGTGCCCTTAATTCTTGAATTCTTCATGGGAGCTGCTCAGATGATTAGTAGATGAATGTGGCTTTTCCAAACAGCTCCAGCTCAGACTGTGTGTAACCTTATATGGATGAAGCACAAAATTTCAACCCACAGTTTGTTGCATTTGAATTATATGGCCGTACTGCCTGGTTATAAGCAAAGTGTGGGCTTCTTGTACTCTGTCTTTAGTTTTTTCAATTTTATTTGACATTCTTCAACTCCCTTTGCGTATAATTGTTTTGCTATTGTTACAAACGCCCTCTGATTTCATTCCATTCAGGGTTTTTTTTTTTTTTATCCCCTTCTCTAACCAAACCAAGGAGTTTTGTTTTCCTCTCTGATCGTAGAATTTCTCTACTTTATACCATTTTTCAAAAGCAGAAAATGATTAACAAGCACAATTCTGTTATACTTGCTATGATAATGGCATTTAGCATTGTTGTGAAGAAAGAAAACGGTATTAACTGCAACATAAATTACTTGTGGTTACGTGTAACTTGTTTGTCGGATTGACTCTATGCACTGCCTTTTACCACCTCTGGTGTGCAAACCACACATGAAGAAAAAGCAGAACATGATCATCAGTCCAAACTGTGCGTTGCCCTCAATTCATCTTGTTTCTCAAGTATAATTACCTACTGGCTTTCAGATGTCAGCACCCACCTTTTTATTCTAGGGAACCCTTTGATTTTGGGTTTGTTTTTGACAAACTGGACTGGACACAGTATACAGTATACTACAGCAAGCACTCATCCAGCTACAGTAATACAACAGAAGAGCAGCTGGTTTATGTGTTTATTGTGCAGTCAAACAAACTCTCATATTTTAATACATGCTATGAGCAACTGCAATCTGATTTCATGCTGTTTCAATGCTTAAAATGATTGTGAATAAATTGTGGTCAGTGCTAACCTCTGCTAACCACAAATACATTCTGTTTCTAGTAGCTTCTTCACAATAAAAGCCACCCCATGTTTCACCAGTTGAATACTTTTAATTTGAAGCAGTGGCAGCAGGATGCTACATTTGCATTAGCAGCAACTTAATTCAGCCCTAATGTGGTCTGAATAGCGCAGTAAACAGTGAAGCTGATATCAATTAGATAAAATGAACCTGGATTTTATGTCGCAGATTAAATGGAATGGCGGACTCCGCCACTAACAATGAAAACTAATCTGAGGGGGGAATGGCTGAATGTAAATATCTTAAATAGTAAATACATTGATTGCAGAAAAAATGGCATCTAAATAAACCACTTAAAACCCTTTATTATCTGATTTAGATTATCTGAATGGAGCGTTATTTTATCTCATGAAAAGTGAATGTTTTGGAGATACATGGTTTTTACAGGACAGCAACGTCATGCAGCCTGAAAGCCTCAATGAATGCAAACATGCCTATGATCATGTACATGCTTTTTCATATATTATATTAACTAGGGAGCTTGTGATTACATGCAATTAATAAAAGACAAGGCTGCCCTGTGCACCTTTTTATTCAATTTAACATATGGCATGTCCTTCTAACACACATACATATTCTAACCTACACTGTGTTGCTATACTACAGGTACCAGTCTCTAAACCTCACCCACGTTCCTGAGCACAGTGCAGCCATCTATGAGTTCCGGTGACAGTGGTCGGCATCGTGGATCTTTTTTTTTTTGATGGACAGAGACTTAAAGCAAAGCAGAGGTCTGCGGATGCTACTGAGGAGGAAAAGGAGAACGATTAGGGATGAGAATTTGGGCTTTGGAAAAGTGCAAACTCTTACGTGTTCCCAATAAGTGGACGGACATCTGATTGACCAGTGGACAGGATGTAGGACAAATGAATGTATGTATGGATGAGATGAGAAGGAAGAAAGGAAAAGAGTGCAGCTCAGCTCCCCTGGCCGGAGCTTGTAAAGTTAGAACCAGCAGACTGGGTGTGGCTCATATAGTGTACCCCTTTCTGCATTTGTTTTTACGTCTGGTTTTTAAAAAACGCTTGGCGCTGCATCTCAAGACACTTTATAAGCTGAGTTGGGAATTCCCCCTCTTGTTTTTGCAACTAGAAAACGTTTCCAGCTTTCATCCTGCCGATGTGAGTGAGCAGTATAAACAAAATTGACTGCGAGCTGGACAAGGATTCCTCTGAGGCGTCTGCTCTTATAAACACAATCTCTCAAGAAGTAAACCACCAAGTCCGCGCTGAAAAGCAAAGAGAGAGAAGTTTGGGTTTATGATTGTTTGGAGCTTTAATCAGCCCATAAGCTAGAATGACAGTATTTTTTTAAAGCTAAGCTGGTTCTTTGTTTGCCCGCCAAGAGGATATTTTGTTATTTTACTCTAAATGATGGATGCAGAGTGGCACTTTTTAAAGGCTGCAATGTGAGTGACACACAAAACGAGCTTTCCCCCTGTGTTCATACGATTGCTTGGGAGATTATCACATGGGATTGCTGTGGATCTTGTTCTATTGAGTTACATTTGCACAAAGATAGACTTTATGTTACTAATGCTTGCAGTCAGCATTTTTTACACTCACGTGCCCTAGTACATAAGCATCAAGTTGCAGGTCAAGCTTTTTGACTAGTTTTTAAGGGTTTTGACTGTGTGTGTGTGTGGGGGGGGNNGGGGGGGGGGGGTTTAGAGCAAAACAATCACATAAAAGTATTAAAAAAGAGTATTTTTACCCTGCACTCTGCATTAAACAAAGAGTTTTTTACTCCCTTGTGTCATTTTAAAGATCCCCACTACCCCTACATTTATGTCTCCACGACTATGCAACACTTTCAACATAGCACTCTCCAAACATAAAACCTTCAGTTTTCAGAGACAGAATTTTATTCTATCCTTATAGTATATGAAAAAAAAGAATCTATCTTCATTAAAGGAAATATTTTTGTTAAATTGCCTATGAAAACACTCCCTAATCATGTTCCTTCCCATGTGATGGTGCCATGTTTCTAAAGCTTATCAGAGTTGTATTATAACAGATCAGAAGTGTGTTTGTTTAAGAAGAAGCCTGGATTTGATTGATGGTGTGACTGTAAAGAATGGATTTTGGATTTTAAAAAAATCATATCAAAACACCCTTCACTGTGTCTTGCTTGTTTGACCAATATACCACATTATGTTTATAATATTTTCATACCACATCTCACTTTCATTTTCAAGTTATTTACTCATTTTAAATACTAAATACAGTTAAAAATATAAAGTATTTGTCAACACTGATTTAAAAAAATTCCCCAATTTATTATCTTGATAGTGTATTTGCATGCTGTAAGATGAGTCCTAATGCTGATATTTGGCTGATATTTGAATAGTCACTTCTTACACTGCACTGCCCTCTGGTGTGTTTAAACATTTCATACAGTCTTCTGGTGTTTTTAGCATGATGAGCTGACATTAGGACAGCTGTTGCAAATTGCATAAGAAGCATGCACCAACAAAGCTTAAAGGTACTGTGTTGATAGACAAAAATAATTAGAATTCTTACTGTTATTAAATCTTTTTGCAACAACTAGGAATGTGCAAATATAGCTTGCAGCATCACTGTAGCAGAATTATAGTGGATGTAGCAGTATGGAAATGTTGGACACTTAACAAACCCCAGTGGACAAAACAACTAATAAATAATATAAGTCTACAGCCATAAAAGAGCCTTGTGAGGTTCTACTTAGTTTCTTAATTTGCTTAGAGCTATTACTAATGCTGTTGGGGTGGGGTGAACGTGTTGCAGACTTTATGGTAATCCATCCATGCTGACACAGTCACTCAAAACTGCTATTGTGAACCTCATGGTGGTGCTAGAGGAAAAGTCAAGTGATCACCAAAGTCCTTTAGTGCCAATCCATCCAGTAGATGTTGAGATATTTGGCTGAATAAGTGAAAACTTTGACTTAATGATAGTGCTAGAGGAAAGGTCAGGGGATCATCATAGTTGTTTGGATTCACCCTCCAGGCACTATGGATATCTGTACTGAATACAACAGTAATCCATATGCTTGTATAGATATTTCAGCCAGCATTGCTATCTATTGCACCATGCTTCTTCTTCTCCTAGCTGAGCTAAAAACAAGCCTGAATTTCTTGCTCTTCTGCTTTTGAAATTTTCCACAGGCCTATCTACTCCAGATTTTTCCCTCTTTTTGTAGTTTCATAGTCAAGTGCTAGACTGCAGAGTGTGTAACTTGTGTGTATCTTTGCTCTACATTTCAGTGGAGGTTTAATACTCGGTACAATACAGTGGCCACGAAATCTCAGACTAAACTTGTCAGGTTTGGCCCTATTGTTTGACTTGGCTTAACTTTCTAAGTCAGAGTAAGACTGTGGTGAAAAGCAGGTGCACCTGGGAATAATAATGTCGACAGGGTTGCAGATAAAAGCTATTAAAGCTGACTTGGCAGCAGCCTAGCAATACTAATATTTTGGTATGGTATCAGTCAGAGTTATAGCTTTTAATTTTTAGTTTCATGTTAGTTTCAGTTTGTTTCCAGAGTGGGTTTTTATTTGTTTAAAAATATTTAGTTTCCTTTCAGTATTATTATAAAGATTTAGGCAAGATTCAGTTCAGAATAAGTATTACAATACAAACACATTGACTTACAGTTTTATACAATCCAGTCTCAATAAACATACGCACCAATGCCTGCCAAGAAATTGACAAAAAAACTTTTTTCCTGTATATTCTTATTTTATTTGTTAGTTTCTAAGTACACAGTGTAGTTTGAGTTATTTTTTTTTCTAAAGTCTTTTTTATTTCAGTTAACTAAAATCCTTTTTTAATATTTGCCTCTGAGATTTAGTGGAGCAAAAGTATAAGATTGCATAAAATGGAAATACTAAAGTAAAAGTACCGTGAATTTATAGATAAGTACAAAACTTGAGTAATTATATTTCACCACTGGTTTTACAACTGCTCTGCAGAAAGAAAGAAACAAAGAAAGAATAATGTCAAAAACAAAAGGCTGCTGCAGGTGTAGAACTTTATCCTAATATGATGTGACATAAATTGTAATGGAATAAATGTGGGTCAGTTACAGTTGACTGACTGATAATTATACAGCTGTCTAGAAGGAATGTGGAATTTCCAGTGACAGTATGAAAGTCGAACTTTAAATAACTTTAAATAAACAGGACAACATTTATAGACGGGTGAGAAATTTAGTGGGAAAGTACAGTATAGCCTGTTTGAAGCAGCAGATGAAATACAATATGTTATTATAATAGTGTTATAATATGTTTATTTGTGAAAAGGGTTTATCCTCTAACTACACTTGTCAGGTTTGCCTCTACACTGTTTAACTAATTTCTGCCAATAAACACTAAATGTTACACACTGGACCTTTAAATAAGTCAAATCATCTGTTAGGAAACAGCAGGTACATTAGCCAAAACCTGCACAGTTATATAAAAGAGGTCAAAAGGAACACTATGAGACCGTATGCCCTTATCCTGTTAATTAGCATGTAATAATTAGTCCAACATTCCATCTGTAGACAGTCACATAACTGCAAATGACACTGTATGCCTTTGTGCCTGTGCCTATTTTCGGTTGCAGTACAATAGATTATCTTTTGCACCATCTAAGACATGAAATATGTATGTGACACAACCACAGTTGTGACAGTTAATATTCTGGCTTCAAATAGTGTTAATGTTGGCACGGATACTGCTGCTTCCTTGCCAGAAATGTCATAACTACTAGATTCCCATAACCAGATAAAAAAACGAAAGTGATTGCAATCAGGGTCCCCAAGCTGCGGAACAACCTGCCAGAGGAGATCCCGATGGCTAATTCTGCCACTAAGTCTCTTTTTTATAGTCTGGCCTTCATGTGATCCTTCTATCTAACATTTTACTCACCTTTCATTGTTTTGTCTTTCATTTTTATTTATTGCTATGTTTTACAGTGTTTATTGCTTATTCCATATATTGTTACTGATGGTGCTATTATAATGGATGGATTGCTATGAAAGTTTGTTCCCAGACAATGAATTGTAATGACTTTGTGATACTCTGACTTTTCCTCTCGCGCCATCACAAGGTTGACATTTGTGGTGAAATCTTTCGACAAATATTGATTGGAATGCCATGAAATTTGGTAAGTTTTGTGTCTCAGTCCAGTCCACTTTGTTTGTTTTGTATTTACAGAACCAGGGCTGCATGCAACAGCACACACGGAAAGATATTCACTAAATCTAAAAAAATAAAAAAATAAGTGTATTGTTTTAGCACCATTTTAGGATCATCATGCATGTATGTTATATGATTTCAAGTTGATACTCAACTGGGACCCATTTCAGTCACCGAAACCAAATATTTGGAAGATATCAATGCCTTACTTGTGACATCATGCTTTCTTTACAACAACATGTCAATGAAACACTTATTTCAAATAGAGGAAAAATATCTATACATTTTAAGAAGGGGTCACAAAGATCAGCAACCTTTCACTTGCTCACCAAACCCAACTGAATGTATAAAATGTTGGCAGCGATGGCACATTTGTCAGGACAAACAGGTTAGAGCTAGTTCTGGTTTGTTAAGTCTGTGCTTTGTCTTAATAAATTAAAGGTGTAGTCAGTGATGGATGAGTATGATTTATAGCTCATAATGTTAAAGGTTGTCACACACAAAAACATGTGACAGCTTACACAACCCCTAAAAATGGCTTTACAGAACAGCATGTACCTTAACTATGTCATCCCCTATGTATCCTATTGTACCAGAGGATAGAAAGGTGACAAATAGTTAATAAAAATTAAACAATTAAACAAAAGATTGAGCCTTTACAGGAACTGTAACTCACAAGGGTAATTTAAGTATTGCAGGATTATATTTTGGGTGACTCAGGGTGTATCAGGTACAACCTGGGTGTTTTTGTAAGTGTGTATATCTTGGAACCAAGCATTAGATTTACGGGCAATGACAATTAAATTACAGTCACTGCTTTGTAGCACTGCACAGCTTCCGTCTCTGATAACAACTGTTTATAAACTCAGTAGCTTTGCACCCTTATCTACTGACTCCACCTTCTTCTGCACAGGCTTGTGGACAACCTTCAGCCACGTCTTCAAGAAGGACAAGCCTATAAAAAATGCGTGTTTACCAAATACTTTTTTAATACGGCATCAATTAAAAGCTTTTACAAGTGCAGCATTTCTGTTTAGTGTCACGTTCACATCTAAAGCTTTGTTGTCATAGACCTTTAAATCAATGTTTTATGGGCTCAATAACACTTTTATAATGGCAGAAATCTTTCATTTGGATAACACACATGGCTAGAGGCAATAAACTGATTATGTTTTAGTGTTTACAGTTATATTTGTATTTAGATTTGTATATTTTATCACAGATTGTCTAATCATATTAAACCCAGAATCTTATTTTTTTAAGCATACTACTACTACTGAAATATCTGTCTTCATACGGTATGTGTAAGACCATCAGTGTCCTCCTGAAACAATTTCCCCCTAGGGGATCAATAAAGTTTATCTTCTTCTTATTCTTCTTATTCTTCTTCTGAAGGTCCATTGACTATCTTACACCTTCACCATTTACTGCTTTTTGTTGTTTGTCAGGGGCCGTGCTAAAAGCCATTTACTACATGCTTCATGTCACGT